GAGCAGTGGACGGACGCAAAGACATCCGGTGCGTGCCAGGGACAGGAGGAGGACGCTGACGCGAACCGCGACCACTAGCGCGAGCAGCACGAACAGGCGACGCAGGACGAGACGCAGGCTCACGACGCTCAGCAAGACCTCCAGTGGGACCAGTGTAAGGAGAGGGAGCAGGAAGTGGGGAGGCGGGCTCTAACTGGGACTGTGACTGAACAGGCTGTGGACACGCTGCAGGAGGAGAAAGACCAAGAACCTGCTGTAGGAGTGGAACGAAGTACGGCCGAGGCCGCGCGGCGACTCCAGACACAGCAGGGACAGCACCCTCAGCAGCAGCACCAGCGCCAACAGCACCTCCAGCTCCAGTACCTCCAGCAGCACCAGCAGTACCCGCAGCAGGACCACCGCCAGGAAGGACAGCAGCAGTCTCAGCACCAACACCCGCGGCAGCTCCAGCTCCAGGCGGACCCGAGGGCCCAGCAGCTCCGGGACCAGCGGCACAAGTACCCTCAGCAGCCGAAGGAGCTCCAGCTCCAGCAGTACGTCTCCAGCGGCGAGCAAACCACTCGCGCAGCTCCTGTGGAGAGAGGGGCTCCCGCCGAGGCGAAGCACCCGGAGAACCGCCAGGTCCCGCACCGCCAGACGCCACAAGGGGAGGTCCAGTGGCCGCAGGCTCCGCAGCTCCAGGCTCAGTAGCTCCAGACGCAGCACCCCCTGGCTCAGCACCCCCAGTCACAGCACCCCCAGGCTCAGCACCCCCAGACTCCGCACCCCCAGGCTCAGCACCCCCAGTCGCAGTACCCCCAGGCTCAGCACCCCCAGACTCAGCACCCCCAGGCTCAGCACCCCCAGGCTCAGCACCCACGCTCGTAGCACCCCCAGAGTCAGCACCCCCAGGCTCAGCACCCGCAGCAGGACCAGAGTCACCAGCAACCTCGACCGGCTCGACTGCGTCTACCTGGGACACACCTGAAGGGGCAGGACCCTGAGGGGGAAGGGGGTCTACCAGGGGGGGACCTGGCACAAGGAAGTGCGGTGGCGGGGGGAGGGAAGGAGTGCGGTAGGGGAAGAGGCGGTAGAAGGGGACTGACTCGTCGAACGTGACGTCCTGGGAGGACAGAACACGACGAGAGGAGGGGTGGTAGAACTGCCACCCTGGGGCGTCAGGGGGGAAGCCGAGGAAGACACAGGGAGCAGCACGAGGGGACAGCTTGTCCGCAGACAAGTCGCGGACAAACGCCCGAGATCCCCAGACACGGAACGCAGACGCATCGCCGACCTTCCCCGTCCACAGCAGAGCTGGGGAGGTCTCCGGCCGGGAGACCCTGGGGTGAAGGTTGATCTGATGCGCCGCGTACCGAACCGCAAACGGCCACAGAAAATGGGGGGCAGCCGCATGCATCATGGACGTACGAGCGACGTCCATGACCATGCCAATGCGGCGCTCAGCAATCCCATTTTGCTGTGGAGAGTCCGGAAGCGTAAAGGTCTGGCGGATGCCTCGTGCACGACAGTAGGCTCGCAGAAGGCCAGAGGAGAACTCTCCACCTCGGTCAGAGTGCAGACGCAGAACAGGAAAGTCCGAGCCGAAGCTCCTCCTGAGCTGGAGACGAGCTGCGCGGATCCAGTCGATCAACACCTCAGTGACATCACCCTTGCTGCGCAAGGGGAAGACTGTGGTGTAACGCGAGTAGTCGTCAACCACCAGCAGGAAGTAGCGCTCGTGACCCTGCCCACGGACGCGGGCCGGGCCCCACACGTCCATGTGAAGCGTCTGCAGAGGAGCCTCTGTCGGGGGAAACTGGGAGGAGTGAGGGGCAGCCCGGAGCCGCCCCTCGACACAGGGGACACAGGAAGGTCCGGGTCCCGAAGGAAGGGGAGGGAGAGACCGGGGAAGACCAGAGACAAGGACACGGGAAGCCATGCCCCGAAGACGAGGCAAGGAGGGGTGGCCAAGACGGTGGTGCCACAGGAGAGTCTCCTGAGACAGGCGGCGACACGAGCAGGGGGCAGACTCAGGACCAGACCTGGACGCAGCAGCAAACACCTGACCCGACGCAGCTACCTGGCCAGACGCAGGGACAGGAGGAGACTCAGTGGTCAGGGTGTAGAGACTCGACCCCGGCCGACGCGAAAACGTGGCCAGGTGTCGGCCTGTGCGGGCGTCCGAGCAGTGGGTCACCCGCTGACTCGCAGGAGTAAACTGGTGAACCCCCGCATCCTGCAGGTCAGCACCACTCACCAAGTTCGTCGAGAACGAGGGGAGGTACAGACCAGACAAGGTGCCCGAGGGGGCAGCCGGACACGGGAGGACAGTGGAGAAGTGAGAGAGGACAGGACCCCCAGAGGGGTCAGCCAGTGAGACTGCAACCGGCCGGCCAAGCGGCGTGAGTGTGGTGCGGTCTCGAAAGAAGGAGCGAGAAGCCCCTGAGTCAAGCGTGAAGGTGAGGGAGGCCGAAGCCGACGCAGTACCTGAGAGCGCAGCCTCACCAGTACCTGAGAGTGCAGACGCACTGGCACCTAGAGCAGCAGCCGCAGAAGTACCTGGCGCAGCAGTACCAATGCCCGGGTCGGGCGGGAAACACCGGTAACACTCACCCTCCTCACTAATAGTCACAGCATACATGGCAGCAAGGATAGCATCAAAGTCAAGATCAAAGATAGCTACGCCAGCCCTAGACAGCTCTCCCCAACGGGGAATCTCACTGGCCTCGGGGAACTGCTGACGCCAAGCGTCCGTCAGGCGGCCAAAGCAGCGCTGGGTGGGGTGGGCACCCCCACACTGCTCACCCGCGCGGTCGCCGGAACGAAGGACGTAGGTGCACGGACCAAAACCCCCACCCCGCTGACGCTGCGTGTACCACTCACGGAGCTGCTGGGGCGGGGGGATGTCCCGCGAACGCTGCTGCTGCTGCTGCTGCTGCTGCTGCTGCTGCTGCTGACGCTGGCCACCACCAGAGCCGCTACGCTGCGGGGCACCACCCCGACCAGCTCCACCCCCTCCGCCACCGCCGCCTCCACCTCCACCACCACCGCTGCCTCCGCTCCCACCGCTGCCGCCACCACCGCCTCGTCCTCCGCTGCTGCCACCGCCACCACCGCCCCCGCCACCACTCCCACCGCCACCCCCACTCCCTCCGCCGCCTCCACCGCCACCTCCACCGCCCCCGCCAGTTCCACCCGCGCCCTTGCCCCCCTTGCCCCTGCCAGGGCGGCGTCTCCCGCTAGGGGCAGACGCCGCGCAGACCGACTCAAGACCAAGCAGGTCGGCAGCAGCAGCAGAGGCAACAGAGGGCAGCAGGGGGGAAGGAGAACACCCCTCAAAGATGGGGGTGCGAGGGTCACCACGAGAGGCTCCTACAGCGACGATGCTCTTCTCCGCCGCAAGGAGGGACTTCTCGAGGAGGTCGACAGTGAGAGTGGTGGGACAGACTGAGAGGAAGTGGTCCCTGACTACGCGAAGGGAGTCAGGGAGGCGTGTGACTATGTAATAGAGAGTGATGTACATGGGGGGGGGGTTCTTGGCGCAGAACTCAGCAGGAAGGGCGGCGCGGTAGCGAGTGTCACTAGTGCGGAGGTGCGTAATGAGGTCAGCGACAGTGGGAAAGGCAGCAAGGTCAGGAAAGAGGTACGGTAGCATGAGGCGGCTCAGGGCAGCAGTGGTAGGGGAAGAGTAGCGCGCAACTACAGCGTCGTACAAGGTCGCTAGGTAGGGCGGCGGGGCCGCGAGGTAGGGCGGCGGGGCCGCTAGGTAGGGCGGCGGGGCCGCTAGGAGAGAGGCGGCGGGGCCGCGAAGACGGGCGGCGGGGCCGCTGAGACGAGTGGCGGGGCCGCAGTGAAGGGCCGCTAGGGCGGCTCGACGAAGTGAGGGCCCGGAGCGCGACTCGGGCTGAGCGCGCTTCGGGCAGGAAAAAAAAAATCGATGTGGTGGGCCCTAAGCACAGTTCCCAAGGGGGAACCTGCTCGATACCATGAGAAAATTTGAACAAGGATGAATGAACTATGAATGAAGTGAGTACATATAGGAAACCCTAATTGGGTTGTACCCCCTATGGGATACCCCACTATAGCCTACACAACAGCATAAGCTATATATATGTTCTGACACTACAGGAAGCAGAATCGCTTGCGCGCGATTCTGCTTTGTGACGCTATATTATTTCGACTCGTTTGAAATAGCATCAATGAAAGGTACAGTTTGGTACCCTAAAAGTATAAATTTGTATTTGTCATTATATAAGCGCATGCGCTTATGCCCGAAACTCAATTATAAGCGCCCCCCTTGAAAAAAACAATTTTATTATAAGCGCATATGCGCTACTATCCGGGGTGATACGGTAGTAGTTTTCAAACTGATGGGGGGGGGGAATCACTGTTCATATCAGTTCTCCTGAAGTGACACGAAGTGAATAAGGTTGCTACGCATCCCAACAAATGAAGAAGAGTTACGCAAACTCTTGAGGGTTTTGTCGTGTTCTCTAGAGTTTCTATCAACAGATTAGCATAATCATGTAGGCGAAACATGACCTCCCCAGAATCTCGCCATGGCCGTTCAGTCTGTGTCAGAATCTTCGCCCTAACAAAACAAACTGCAATATATTGGCGCGTAACGAATCCCTTCCGAAAATTGTTGGGCCCTGAAATCGTACCACCACAAAAAAAACAAGCTGTAGATATTCGAAATATCGAGCGTCCAGCGACATCCAAACGAACCGAAGTAATGCCGCATCGTGTGCGACCCGACAAGCATAATTTTATCATTAGGTCGATCCCAACCGTTGATCAGGTGGACGGACATTTCAGGAAAAAAACTAACACAGGCAAAACAGGGTTGATTGCGGCAGGCAACCTTGCCCCCAAGCCCTGGCACTGAATATACAGCAGCTTTTAGTGGTTCAAGACCCCCTCCATTTTTGCGACAATGATAAGAGACTTTAGTGAACCAGAGAATCCCTCCTAATCCCGCCAAACTCTAGCCAATCTTTAATTATCATCCTCTCTCAAGCTTACATCCCGGCCGGCATAGTGAATCTGGGGCCGCGGGTGAGGATGGCATAGAGCAGGCCGACCCACAAGGCAGCCACGGGGAGCGTGAGAACCCATCCGAACCCAGCGATGGCCACCATGCCCCAGTTAATCGCCCGCCAGTAACCGTTGCACAGCCCCACGGCGATGGTCGCGCCGACGATGCACTGCGTGGTGGAGACCGGTAGTGCGAGGAACGACGCGGTGATGGCGGAGAGGGCAGAGCCCAGCTCCATCGAGAACCCGCGCGACGGCGAGTGGTACGTGATGTTGTTCCCGAGGGCTCGCATGATGTGGTAACCGTCTGCACCGAGATTAGGGAGAGAGTGAGAGAGAGAGGATAGCGGTGAGTGAGAAGCGCACACGCAAGTATAAAACACCGAAGGGTTCAGCATTCACGAGTCTGGCCCCATAACTGGGTGAAGGTGGTTATCAGTTGGGAGCCGGAGGGTCGGAGAGTCAAAAGGTATAATGCTAGGAAGTGGGCTGGTGCCTCGGCACTGCGAGCAAGGCGCTGACTTACAGAAAGCGAGGCCGAAGTCGAGGGCGATGCCGACATACGCGAGCATCCACGTGGGCATGCTTGCGTCCGACGAGAACGTCCCGGAATTCCAGATCTAATACACACCCGCCACGGGGCCCAGGGCGTTTGCGATGTCGTTGGACCCGTGTGCGAAGCTTGCAAACGCAGCGGTCATGACTTGGAGCAGCGAGTAGAGGTACTCCGTCTTGTTGTCGTACACCAGCGCCACCTCGTGCGCGCGGGTCGCGTGCTTGTTTTCCTTCTGCAGGGTCGCCACGTCGATGAAGAGCGCCCGCCACATCAGCACCCTGACCTTATAAACGAATCGCACGACTGGGTTCTTCGACACAGGCTTCTCGGGCTCCTTGTCTTTGATATCCTCGGGATCTTCAATCGGCATGCCGATTTCCTTCGTCTCCTCGTCACTGAGAAGCTGCAGCGTGAACGCGCGTTTCAAGTAGATATCAATCTTGGGGTCCGGCGGCTTCTTCGGCACGCACCAGATGTAGAATATATGGTACCAGCTGAGGGTCTCCTCCTTCTCCAGGCGCCGGATGAAGAACGGCACAAGGAAGGCGACGCAGAAGGTTAGCATGAGTCCGATTACCACTCCGATGATCGTGCACGCTAGAGCGACATTGCCGGAGACCTTGACCACGCCGCCAATAGTAGAGGCGCTGAAGGAGAGAGTCGACTTGCCGTTCTTTGTCGCGACGTAGAACGACACGATGAACGTAGTGATGGTGAAGTAGGCTGGGATCGCGTAGATGCCGGCGCGCAGCGAGTTCTTGCGCTTCATGATGGCGTATAACGTGATCGTGTAGATTATTGCGGCCAGGATACCAGCCATAGCGGGCGCAATGACCCACGACGCCGCGACCTGCGCCACGCCCTTGTTGTCCCAGCCCCAATTCATGGCATTGATGCCGAACGCGCTGACGCCGACTCCGATAAGCGCGCCGATGACGGAATGTGTGCTGGACACGGGAAAGCTGAAGTACATGGCGGTCATGACCCACGTGGACAACGCTATCAGCGCGCACATGAAAGTCGACATTAAAAGGTCCGGCCGGCTATTGAATAGTTTGAATAATTCCGTCCTTCACGGTCTTGGTCGTAGTGGCACCGAGCGCAATTGCTCCTCCGAATTCCGTGAAGATGGCGATGCAGACGGCTAGGGCAAGAGTGAGCGACCATGACCCGACGAACGTGGCGAAAGAATTGGCAACGTCATTTGTCAAACTTATATACTATAGTCTGTTTAGGCTGTAGTGGGGTAGTTCATATAGGGTACAACACTTTTAGGTTCCCCACTTGTACCCACCTGTTTGCTAGTTCAGTCATTCATTCCTTCACTATTCTGACATGGTATTCTGAGCAGGTTCCTTAGTGGGAACGTTTTTTTTAGGGCCAGCCACGATTTTTTTTTTCCTGACCTGCCCGAAGCGCGCCTCACGCCTGCCTCGCCTGCGCCGTCGGGCGCCCTGCCCTAGTACGGCCCGTCGTGGCCCTGCCTTCGCTGGCCCGTCGCGGCCCTGCCTTTGCCGCCCGTCGCTGGCCCGTCCTGTCAAACTTATATTCTATAGTCTGTATAGGCTGTAGTGGGGTAGTTCTTACAGGGTACAACACTTTTAGGTTTCCTATATGTACCCACCTGCTTTCTAGTTCAATCATTCCTCTCATTATTCTCACATGGTATAGAGCGGGTTCCCTAGTGGGACCGTTTTTTTTTAAGGGCCCACCACTACGAATTCTTTTTTTTCCTTACCTGCCCGAAGCGCGCTTCGCGCTTGTCTTAGCTGCACCCCGCGCGCCCTGCCCTTAGCGGCCCGCCCTTAGGGCCCTCTTCGTCGCGCCCCTCACGGGCCCCATTGCGGCCCTTCGAGGCCCCTTTGCGGCCCTCTGCGGCCCGTCGCGGCCCTTCGCGGCCCCCTTTGCGGCCCTTCGCGGCCCGTCGCGGCCCTTCGCGGCCCCTTTGCGGCCCTTTGCGGCCCTTCGCGGCCCTTCGCGGCCCCTTGCGGCCCCTTTGCGGCCCTTCGCGGCTCTTCGCGGCCCCCCCTTCGCGGCCCTTCGCGGCCCCTCTTGCGGCCCTTCGCGGCCCCTTTGCGGCCATTCGCGGCCCCTTCAGCAGCTGCCGTAGCCCCTGCCGGCCCCTACTGGCGCGCCCCTTCCGTGCCCCTGCTGACGCGCCCCTACTGGCGCGCCCCTACCGGCCCCTGCTGGCGAGCCCCTGCCGGCCCCTGCTGGCGCGCCCCTGCCGGCCCCTGCTGACGCGCCTCTGCTGGCCCCTGCTGGCGAGCCCCTGCCGGCCCCTGCTGGCGCGCCCCTGCCGGCCCTTGCTGACGCGCCCCTGCCGGCCCCTGCAGGCGCGGCCCCTGCATTCACGGCCCGCCCCTGCACCCGTCTCTGGTAAGCCGAGCCGCGCCGCTCAGTCGAGCCGCGCCAACCAGCCGAGCCGCGCCGCCCAGCCGAGCCGCGCCGCTCAGCCAAGTCGCGCCGCCCCACCGAGCCGCACTGCCCTACTGAGCCGCACTGCCCTACCAAGCCGCACTGCCTTGCACTGCCTTACTGCCTCTGCTTCTACTGCTGCTACTCTTGCTACTGCTCCTACTGCTGCTATGGCTGTCCTACCGTTCTCACCTTTGACGCTGAGGGACGTGCAGTTGACTTTGACGTGTGGGTTGACGACCTACAGCTCTTTCTTCAGTGTGATTCTAGGGATGGGGTATCCCTTTTCGATCACACGTCCGGTGTTTCTACTGCTCCTGCTGCCACTGCTGACAGTACGGTTCGCTCGCAGTGGACCACTCGTGACGCTGTTGCTCGTCTTGCTGTTCGTAGTCACCTGCCGCCTGCTGAGCGCGCGCATTTTGGCCAGTACAAGACTGCTCAATCTTTGTACGACGCTGTAGTTGCGCGCTACTCCTCCCCTGCCACTGCTGCCCTCAGCCGCCTCATGGTGTCGTACCTTTTCCCTGACCTTGCTGCCTTTGCCACAGTCCCTGACCTAGTTGCTCACCTTTGAACTAGTGACGCCCGCTACCGCGCTGCCCTTCCCACTGAGTTCTTTGCCAAGAACCCACCCCCCATGTACATAACCCTTTACTACCTAGTCACCCGCCTCCCTGACTCCCTTTCTTCAGTCAGGGACCACTTTCTCTCACTTTGCCCCACCGAGCTGACTGTCGACCTGCTAGAGGAGCGCCTTGCTGCAGCTGAGAAGAGTATCTTAGCTGTAGGTGCTTCTCGCGGCGACCGTCGCACCCCTTTCTTTGAGGGGTGTTCCCCTATCCCCTTTCTCCCCTCTGTTGCTTCTGCTGCTGCTGTCGACCTCGTTGGCACTGAGGAGGTTGGAGCTGCGTCTGCCCCTAGTGGGAGACGCCGCAACAGCAAGGGCAAGGGGAGCAAGGGTGGTGGAGGGGGTGGCGGGGGAAGCAGTGGAGGAGGTGGAGGAGGCGGAGGTAGTGGCGGCGGTGGAGGTAGTGACGGCGGTGGCGGAGGTGGTGGAGGCAGCGGCGGCGGTGGTGGAGGTGGCGGTGGCGGTGGTGCTGGTCGAGGTGCAGCCGCGCAGCGTGGAGGCTTTGGTGGCAGCCAGCGCCAGTAGCAGCTGCGCTCCCGTGAGACCCCGTCGGTCCAGCAGCTTCGTGAGTGGTACGCTGGGCGTGGGAGGTCTGGGGGTGCAGGTCCCTACACTTACGTTCTTCGCACCGGCACTCGTAGTGGGGAGGTGTGTGGGCTCCCACACACTACGTAGCGCTGCTTCGGTCGCTTGACTGACGCTTGGCGTGCCCAGTTTCCTGACGCTGTTGAGCTCCCTCGCTGGCATGATCTGCTTCTGCAGAATGTGCCTATCTTTGATCTTGATTTTGATGCTATCCTTGCTGCCATGTATGCTATTGCTGATAGTGCTGAGGGTGACTGTTACCTGAGTGTCCCGTCCGACCCGGGCATTGCGGCTGCTGCTCTAGGTGCTAGTGCGTCTGCTGCTCCAGGTGCTGGTGCGTCTGCTCTCTCTGGTACTGCACCTACTGAGTCCTTGCACACTTTCACACTTGACTCTGGTGCTTCGCGCTCTTTCTTTTGAGACAGCACCACACTCACGCCGCTCAGTCGGCCTGTTGCGGTCTCCCTTGCTGACCCCTCAGGGGGCCCAGTCCTTGCACACTCCTCCACGGTTCTTCCGTGTCCTGCGGCCCCGTCGGGCTTGCTGTCGGGACTCCACCTCCCCTCGTTCTCTACGAACTTGGTGAGTGGAGCTGACCTCCAGGACTCGTGGGTTGACCAGTTCACCCCTGGAGGTCAGCGTGTGACCCACTGCACTTGCTCTCGGACGGGCCGCCACCTGGCCACGTTCACCCGTCGGCCAGGGTCGAGTCTGTACACACTGACTACTGCGCCTCCTCCGGTCTCTGCGTCTGGTCAGGTAGTTGCGTCTAGTCAGGTGTTTGCTGCCGCGTCCAGGTCTAGTCCTGCGCTGCCCCCTGCTCGTGTCGTCCTCTGTCGCACGAGACTCTCCTTTGGCACCACCGCCTTGGTCACCCCTCCCTGCCTCGTCTTCGAGGTATGGCCTCCCGTGCCCTTGTCACGGGTCTACCCCGGTCCCTCCCTCCCCTTCCTCCCGGGCCTGCCCCCACCTGTGTTCCTTGTGTCGAGGGCAGGCAGCACGCCGCTCCTCACTCCTCCTCATTCCCTCCGACTGAGGCTCCTTTGCAGACTCTTCACATGGACGTGTGGGGCCCAACCCGCGTCCGTGGACAGGGTCACGAGCGTTACTTCCTGCTGGTCGTTGACGACTACTTGCGTTACACCACAGTCTTCCCCTTGCGCAGCAAGGGTGAGGTCCCTGAGGTGTTGATCGACTGGATCCGCGGTGCTCGTTGCCAGCTCAGTGAGAGTTTCGGTTCAGACCTTCCTGTTCTGCGTCTGCACTCAGACAGAGGTGGGGAGTTTTCCACCGACCTCCTGAGGGCCTTCTGTCGTTCGGAGGACATCCGCCAGACGTTCACGCTTCCGGCCTCCCCGCAGCAAAATGGGATTGCTGAGCGCCGCATTGGCATGGTCATGGACGTCGCTCGTACGTCCATGATCCATGCGGCTGCTCCCCATTTTCTGTGGCCGTTCGCGGTTCAGTACGCAGCGCATCAGATCAACCTTCAGCCTCGTGTCTCCTTGCCGGAGACCACACCTACTCTGCGGTGGACGGGGAAGGTTGGCGATGCGTCCGCGTTCCGTGTCTGGGGATCTCGAGCTTTTGTCCGTGAAAGAGACGGTAGTACGACACCGACTCGTCAAACGTGACGTCCTGAGAGGACAGAACACGACGCGAGGTGGGGTGGTAGAACTGCCACCCGGGTGCGTCAGGAGGGAAGCCAAGGAAGATACAGGGAACAACACGGGAGGACGCATCGCCAACCTTCCCCGTCCACCGCAGAGTAGGTGTGGTCTCCGGCAAGGAGACACGAGGCTGAAGGTTGATCTGATGCGCCGCGTACTGAACCGCGAACGGCCACAGAAAATGGGGAGCAGCCGCATGGATCATGGACGTACGAGCGACGTCCATGACCATGCCAATGCGGCGCTCAGCAATCCCATTTTGCTGCGGGGAGGCCGGAAGCGTGAACGTCTGGCGGATGCCCGACAAACGACAGAAGGCCCTCAGGAGGTCGGAGGAAAACTCCCCGCCTCTGTCCGAGTGCAGGCGCAGAACAGGAAGGTCTGAGCCGAAACTCTCACTGAGCTGGCGACGAGCACCGCGGATCCAGTCGATCAACACCTCAGTGACCTCACCCTTGCTGCGCAAGGGGAAGACTGTGGTGTAACGCGAGTAGTCGTCAACGACCAGGAGGAAGT